TATAATATAATAAAATAATATGAATGAGATCTCGGAAATATATTGCAATGGAAATAAATGTTAAATAAAACAACATTGAAATCGTATACGAGATAATTAAATATCAATCTATCTACTCGTTACGCAAGTATAGAAAATAATCTTTTGAAAAAAAAAAAGAGAAAAAAACAAAACAAAAGAAAAAAATATTTCAACTCTTGAAAAATAAAAGTTCAATAAAAATGGTATTCTATTTGCGTAACTTAAGTATAGTTTAAGTCTATCGACTATATTATAATCCGCAAGAATGTTAAACCATGATCGATAATAATATTATCATTTTATCAAGTCTAACTGCAACGTTTCTTTCATCGTTTTATTTCTTTTTTTTCTTTTTTCTTTTCATCACAGTTCAAACATTAAGAATCTTTTCTCGTATATCATACATATATATATATTGCATAAATTTATGTATAATTATTTTAGAAACGATTTTTCATTCGTGTTCATGAATATCATTAAATTTTACACGATCGTTCATTCGTAATAAAAAGAAAAAAAAATATTGTGACAAAACTAATTATGCATTAGGTCATACCGCGTTTAAAGAAAAATGTCACCTAACGAATAGAGCATTCTATTATCGATACTACAATGATTGTTATTATATTCGTTTCCTGTGAGTAAACTAATTTGACAGCTATACGAACACGTCATACAAAAATAAAATAGGAAAACGTGACAAATGAAGAAGTACGGTTAACAAAACAATAATAATGCAGATGGATAGAAAATTTGTTCTTACAATAGATTAACAAAATGAACGCGAACACGTTGATATGATTGTATTTATTATTTGTTTGTTTGTACGTTAATATGGAAGTTTTATATTGATTGTATTTTATTTTTTTCAGAAAGGATGGAATTAATAATATTTTTAGGATTAATAATCCTAACTAAATCACAAATGATTTATCCGGATCAATATGAATATGCGAAGAATGTGAATTATCCAGTTTATGATAAAAATCAACAAAGATTGTATCAAGCGTCTTATAATCCTGTTGCATACGCTGCACCTGCTGCACCAGCAGCAACAGGAACATATTCACAAGATTTATATTATGCACAACAACAACAACCAGCACAAGCTACATATTATGCATCACAACAACAACCAGTACAACCAACATATTATGCACCACAACAAGCAGCATATGCACCACAACAAACAGGATATGCAGTACAAGCTGCATATGCACCACAACAAACAGAATATGCAGTACAAGCTGCATATGCACCACCTTTATTATATTCTTCAGCGTTTAATGTTAATCAACCACAAAAACGAGCTTCCATAAATAGTGGTACACCATCGGAAACAAATAATAATAGAGTTGCATTGCCAATTTCACCTCTTGCTCAATCGTTGCCACCAGATTGGGCTTATCAGGTAAGATCTTATATACAATTGTAATTTGTTCTAATTAATTAACGAGATACAGGTAAGCCCTTCCTACAACATGGAAACTTAAACCCTCCTGTAATATGATTTAAAAATAATTTGCGAAATTGTTTGTACACCATCTGTATTTCTACTATCACTGAATAATATACAATGATCGTTTAATATACTTCACAAATAAATGATCTTCAAATAATGAAACGTGTTATAGGAGGGTTACCTGTATTCAAATGTTCCTCACATTCTAGAAGATGATTTTGTTTAAATTATTATTTATTTGAATATATTTCTTAATCACAGGTTAACAATATTATTTCTAAAGGTGTCACAAAGTTGGCATTGGATATTCAAAACGTTATATACGCTAATAATTTGGCATCGGTAGTTAATGAGAATGAAAACATTGTATTTTCACCGCTTAATCTTGCCGGAGCATTGGCGATGATTCATTTAGGATCAGCCGGTATAACATTCGAAGAAACTTCGAGAATTCTTGGTCTTGCTACAGGAGTGGACATATCAACCCATTCCGAATTAGTTCATCAAATATTTGGTTTATTAATGTCAGTGATACATCAGAGTGTTTCTGGATCTGCGAGAACTACGAACATTGCAAATGGAATTTTTGTACAGGTATACATTAATTCAATGTTATTATATTAACGAATGAATTAATTCGTGAAATAATATTTCTATAGTTTTGTTTTCCTTTTTTCTGATTAATTTTCCTGTTTTCAAATCATCAGAATGGTTTTCCAATAAGATCGGAATTCAAAACGATCAGTGAAAACGTTTACAAAAGCGAAGTTGAAAATCTCGATTTTCAATTGAAAGGAAATGAAGCAAAGGATAAAATAAATGCATGGGTTAAAGAAAAAACCAATGGAAAAATTGCATCGATTTTAAATGATGTACCATCCCCAAGCACCTTGGTTGTCATAGCATCAGCATTATATTTCAATGCTGAATGGGACAGACATTTCATACAAGGTGCTACTGGTAAAAGGCCATTTTCCATAGAACCTAATCAAGAAATCACTGTTGACTTCATGTACAATGCTGGGGATTTTCCATTTTATGAGGACCCAAATATTGGCGTTAAAATAGTTGGTTTACCTTACAAAGGATTGGACGTAAGTATGAAATCATTGATTACATTAGTTTACAATAGATTTGTTACCGAAAACATTTTAGGCTGCTGTTACTGACACTAGATATGTTATACAGATTTCAAATATATATTTATTAGAATTTTTGTATGAACTCTTTTTTTGTCTCAAATATTAATCTTAACACATTAAAATATGTACGGACTTTATCGATTAATAAATACGTATAAATGATAAAAATCAAAAAGAAAAAATATAACTCGAGCCGCAGACATATTTTTTGAGGTTAGATTTGACCAAAAAACAGGTCATAAGTGAAACATTTATCAATCATAAAATTCACGTCAACAGATAAAAAGTTTAATTTTGTAAACTAGTGAATTATCACATTTGAAATATTTATTCTTAGTGTTTTCGTAATAATTCGATAAGAAATGTAATATCTTATATATATTTATATATATATGTTTTTTTTTAGATGACTATGTACATCATGTTACCAACCATAGAAGGTGCAAGAGCATTGGGTGGATTTGAAAAGACTCTGACACCGGAGATCATTGAATATTTGATTCAAAACACGAAAAATCAAACTACCATATTAGGGATACCTAAAATGAAGATAACTAGTTCTTTAAAACTGAAACGAGTATTACAAAGTTTAGGTTTGTTATCATTGTTCGACCCAACAACCGCTGATTTGAGTTTATTGTCACCCGGTCCGGATGGTCAAAACAATTTAAATCCAAATTTAAACGTGGCTGCTATCACGGATCCCAACAACAGACCTGGTAAACAAATTGTTAACAGAAAATCAAATAACAACAGAGACCAATTAATATTTTCAAGATTCGGTGGTGTTACGAATGAAAAACGAAATCTTAGAAAAAATTTATTTCAATATTTTGACAATAATCGTAATTACAATGTCGAACAATGGTCCACAGGATTTAACATAAGAAGATTGGCTAAGAAAAAACGTGAAATTGAAAAGGAACGTATCAACGATACCAACGATGTTGTTAACAGAGTTAAAAGACAAAATCGTATTCCTGAAGAATTTCTTCGTATCATTGAAAATAGAAATTATCAATATTATGGTTTGGACAATCTTAGAAATAGCGCGACTCTAAGTAATCCTCATTTATATGCTGATGAGGTATTGCATAAAGTAGACATTGATATTAATGAAAGGGGTACCGAAGCTGCAGCAGCAACTGCAGTTGTTTTGGAAAGAGATGGCAGTCAAAAAAGGTTAATCGCTAATAGACCATTTTTATTTTTCATCAGACACAATCCGACGAAATTAATATTGTTTTGGGGTACGATTAACAGGCCTACTCCAAATTATTCTACTTTGTAAACATATTTTTATTATTATCTTTTTTCTCTTTTTTTTTTTTTTTTATCAACCTTTTGCGAAAATATCATTCCAAACAAATTCACCCGTACGCGTTAGTTAACGAAAAGGGTTAACGTCAATTTTTATCCAACAGTATTTAACATTATTATTATTATTATTATTATTATTATTATAATTGCCTCTAATATACACGTATATGTATGTGATATATTCATAATTGATTAAAATCCTATTTAATTATAAGTAAAAGAGGTCAATTATAAACAAATAAGTTATACTTTTTTTTGTACTCTCTCTATCTCTCTCTCTCTTTATTTAGGATTTCATTCGCATTACAACATTTAATAATAAGACTTCTGTTTATTCGCATAAAACACCAAAGAAAATATGAACTTCAATTGTATTGAAAGCTTATCGTTATTATTTTTTCTCTTCTAGTTAGTTTATATATAAAAAAAAAAAAGAAAAATTGATTTTATATCCGCTAAATAGATATTTTTTTGTTCGTTTTTTTTTTATACTAGTTCATTTTAAAATATACACGTTATTTATATACTATTAGTTTTATATTTTATATATTAGTTTATATTATACTCGTGTTAAATAGAAAATAATTACTTTGTGCATCGATGAATTAAAAATTAAAGCTTGCTTTGCTTGAAATGATATATTAATGTTTTTATTTTATTACTTCATTTTAAATATCTCCATAAACCTAAATTTACATTTCTATTCCTCTAAGAACGTGTCAAGTGACTTACACGTTATCAAATATATAAAATGCATTTATAAAATGCAGTGTAGTATGTTGAAAAAATTTATGTTTCTTGTGTATGCACGACGAATATTTTTATTTTTATTTATTTTAACGCTCTTGCACAGTGATAACTTCGAGGGTAACATTTTTCTGTAATATAAGTAGAGTACACATTAGATTATTAAAATAATAGTTAATTAATGAAAGAAAGATGTAAAAACACTGAATATATAATCGGAGTACCGTCACCTTCGAAATCCACCATTGAACTGAGTCAATAATCTCTGTTAATTAAATGTTTTTATTAAATGTTATTTATATGACTTTATATACGAGAACATTGCGCATGTGTGTAACAAGAAAAAGGAATTCAATATTCTTACATTACAAACTCTATTAATTAGCATTCATTTAATATTTACAATTGTATATAACTGTAATTTATATATATAATAATTACATCTTTATAGTTAAGTTTTATTTAAACAATTGCATAAAAATTGCATAAACAATTCTCTCTATCGATTAATTAACAATTATTTTAATGTACTAATGAACTTTTCTTATATTGCAGCTAAATTTAAATAATTACATAAAAATGAAGATAATTATCGTATAGAGACACACGAAACATAAATTTTTTCGACATACACTGCATTTTATTAATGCAAGCTTCTCACACATACATGGATATTTCAAATAATTAGATTTAACAACAAACCTTTGAAATTTTTTTCTATTTGAACGCCTTAAATGACTATTTCTTAAAATATATGTTTAAATGCATTTCTGGAAAGACACACACATGTTTATACACTAAAAATTAAATATAATTATGTAAAATTCTATTACAATATTATCATATCTATCAAAAAAAGAGAGATGGAGAGAATACTGTATTCTTTGATAGTATTGTACCGTCATCGCGTTAAGTACCTTCTATCGCCCTCTGGTGGTCCCGGTAGTAACTAAGATGAATCTTGGTAGATAAAAAAGGGAACAATTTATGAATTTACATCTGTCGATAATTCAGGTCCCTGTACATAGAATTTTTCAATAATATTGATAATTTTAGAAATGCAATAAAAGATGGCAGATCTCCTTGAAATATTCATTTTAAAGATATAAAAACTGAGCTATATACAGGCTCCATTGGTATAAATATAGGCACGCATGAATGCGTGCGTAGTAATATAAACAAAAATAATTCAATCATTTTTTCTCAGTCTCCTTTTCGTAATATATTTGCAAAAAGTGGGAGAATTACGTTTTTATATTTCTTTAACATGATTTTCATAAAAATAAAAATCTAAGTGTAAAATGATAAAAACATTTAAATTTCATCATACTAGAATTTTCTTTAAATAATCGCGGTAAGTAAGTTTTATTCTAAACTCTTATTATATAGAAATTGAATGAATTATCGTTAATAATTGTTTGACGTCAAATATGATTTTACAAGAGATTTATTTTAAACGGTTACATATATATATTTCTTTTTCTTGTATCATCATCATATTCTTTCCATCATCTTCTTTTCATCATCTTCTTTTCATTATGGCTTTCTTTATAGATAATGACCACATCAGAGAACTCTAATGAACCTATTAAGGTGGCAGAGGAAAGTGGAATAGTATGTATTGGACTATTTTGTTTATTTTTTTTTTTAAATGGTTGTGCACAAAAATCGATAGGTTTTTGAATCATGCATCAAACATTGCGTTAACATTAATTCATTTTCATTCATGATACACTCGTTTGGTGCAGTGCGGTGATGGTATGAAAGAATACTTGGAACCCCGATTTGAGTGTCCTATTTGTTTAACTTGGCTACGTGATCCAGTTTTAACATCTTGTGGTCATAAATTTTGTTCACGGTGCATTTACACTTGGTTACAGTAAGTTTTATAACAATTAATTATTTAAATAAAACTTTAACTATTTAAATCCCAAAAATTCCTAACAGAGCGACAAAAAAATATATTAATTTTATATTAGTAATATTTAATATTACTTGAGATTAAAATGATTAAATTATTAATGTGCATGCATGGCAATACTAATATGTTTAACCATAATACATTGTCTTTTTTCATTAGAAGAGAAGGTGCATGCTGTCCGATAGACAGTCAACCTTTAAAATCTGAAAGCGATCTTTTCAGAGATCTTTATACAAGTAGAGAGATATCTCAACAGCGCACTACATGTGCATATCGTCAATTTGGTTGTTTGGCTGAATTGTCACCAGTTGATATGGAGATGCATATCAATGAATGTACATACAAAAACCTTTCTACATCGGAAGGGATTCCATGTTCCTTTAAAGACGTTGGTTGCATGGAATTATTTTGTTCAAAAGAATCTTTGCGCATTCATTTGGAAAAAAATGTCAATTCACATTTAACCGTTAGTAAAGTAATGCTTATAATGCATTAAGTAAATTAATTGATATTTACTGTATATATGGTTACTTATTAATAGATGATACTAAATTCGCTTCAACGCTTATCAATGACTCAAGGCCACGTTAGTGCTTTATCTGCAGAATCTAAGTTATGGGATCCACCACCCAAAAATGGAACATCGGTATCAGATAAAGAACCACCGCCGGATTGGCAACAATTATTAAAGTAATTAACAGAAATATATACATTTCTATTATATTCAAAGAATATTAAGCGAAGTATATTTTTAGGAGTTTGTACGAAAGGATAGTAGTACTGGAACAACAAAATCGAGAACTTTCTATTACTGTCTCCAATCAAAAAAATCAACTTACAGCCTTACAAACTTCAATGCGCTTTACCAAAGAGGAAATGCTATTACATAATTGCAATGGTGTTTATATCTGGAAATTAAATTCCTTTCAAGAAAAACTTAACTCCATGATAGATGATCCTTTAAAGATGTATTATAGTTCTGGATTTTACACCGGACCTAACGGCTACAAAATGTGTGCCAGAATAAACATATCTTCCAAGGATCCAGAATTTTTGTCATTACTTTTACATATCATGAAATCGGAAAATGACGATGCATTGGATTGGCCCTTCAATGGCGTCATGTATTTCGTATTGATACATCCACATAATTCAGAAAAAGATATTAGAGAGAAAACTTGTTCAAGACCGGATCTTGAAGCTTTTAGAAAACCTATTTGTGAATTAAATAAACGTAGTTTCGGTTACGTTGAATTTGTACGTACGCAGGATTTACCTGATTTTTTACGAAGAGACACTTTAACTTTTCGTATCGAAGTACGAGCCTACGATAAATTTCAATTACCATTACTCTGAAACCAATTGTTTTACTTATTATTGTTTAAACTTTGTAAATAAATATATAGAGTATAAATTTTATATATATTATTAAAAACTCTGTTAAGATATTTTTTTATCAATTTTTATATAATAAAATTATATAAACAAAATAAAATCCGTCCAAAATGTTTGTATTGTAGCACATAGTTGAATTATATGTAATAAAAAAAAGAAATATAGTAAAAGTATAATAATAATAAATGAATTATTTTAAAAACATTCACATGTAATTTTTCTTTTCGTTAAAAAACAATCCGTTTTTTATGTATATTTTATATTGAAAAATAAATTATATTTAATACATCGAATATTATTTTTGTTCGTTTATAATTTGTAATTATAAAAGAACTACCCTTGAATGAATATTTCTGATAAAATTGATTAAACATCAAAATAGTTTTTTTTAATGTTAAAATATATTAATGTGCTTGAATATTAATAGAATTATTGTGATTTTGTATTGTTGTATTGTTGCAGTTGGCTGGATATTTCGCATAAGGGAATTATCAAATAACCTGGTTTCTGCATTGAAAGTCCCACTTTCTATATAATTACAAAAATAATACTTTCTATCTCCACTCGAGAAGGTCTTTTGTGATCGCTTGTAACGGAAATATTATCTTGAAGAATAATGGATATAAATTTGATAAGTTATTTATTTATATTAAAATCAAGTTTAATGATAATACTTGGAATCCTTTTTATGTATGCTGAAGATCACTTACCCGTTTTAATTAGACGTACATTTCATTATGGCAAACATGCGATTAATATTCATCATCCATTGGTTGCAATAGTTGAAGTACCAAAAAGGTGAGCGTTATTATATATATATATAATAGAAATTATTTGTATAATTAACTCTAATACAATTTTTTATATATTCTTAAATAAAAATAATCTTTCTATTTTTTGTGTCTTCTTTCTTTATATATCAAATTTTAGATGGTTCAAACACTTCTATAACTTTGCAATGCCAGCTTTTACATTATCACTTGTTTTAATGTGTTATAAATATTTTATGAATGGTCAAATTCCAGAAATGATATATTGCTTATTAGATGCATCGCTTGGCAAATCCAGAAAAGCATTAAGTAAAGTATATTGAAATTTTGATATAGTTAACGATACTAATATTATTATTATTATAGTATATATTATTTCATTTTTAGTATCACCTGAAAGCGGATTTTTAGCTATGACCCTTCTTACCATTCATTGTTGGAAAAGATTCTATGAGTCACATTATGTTAATGTTTTTTCTGATAAAAAAATGCACATATCTCATTATTTAGTTGGATATTTACATTATACGGGAACATTAATTAGTATCTTGGGTGAATTACACGGTTTTGTTCGAGGTAACATACGAGTAATATTTTTCCATAAAAAATAAAATAATACATTAAATTTGTTTATCATTGAAAAAGCAAATCACTTTTTTTTTTTACAGATTCAGATAAATCAATCGATTGGCATAATTTAACGTTCTTACAAATAGTTTGCGCTAATATATTTTTATTGTCTTCGTTGATGCAATTGCAATCTAATTTTATCTTAGTCAATTTGAGAAAATCTAATAACAAAGTTGTTTTCGACGGATACAAAGTACCACACGGTGGTCTATTCGAATATTTATCATCGCCGTTGCAATTAACAGAAATTATAATTTATTTATCGGTATCTGTAATTCTTTGGCAAAGTAATACGTTTCATTACGTCACACTTTGGGTAATACTTAACCAGGTAAATAAATATATACATTAAAAAATTCTACATATACATATATATATATATATAAATTATTTTTTAAAATGAATTTATTTTTTTACAGGTGGATTGTGCTATAATGGAACACAAATGGTATAAACAAACTTTCCAAAACTATCCGAAGAAACGGAAAATCTTAATTCCATATTTATTTTAAATAGAATTAATATTATCTCTGTTATTTATATAATATTTATAATCTATTTATAAACTCTGCACAACAATAATTTAATTTATGTTTATATAAATCACTTGTAAAAATGGATATATATATATATATATACATTATAATATTATATATTATATATATTTATAATTATTTAAACAAATAATTATTCGTAATTAATTATTTACCTATTATCATTATTATTTTTGTAAATATTAAAAGTTGATCGGAAAACTTTTGCCGATTTTGACAAAAAATTTGATGAAAATAAATTATATTAAAAATATTAATCGAGTTTTTTCCGGACAATTTAATAATATTTTGTTTACAAATGATAGAATAAATATAATAACGAGCATAAATTATTGTTTCTAATTAATTTTTGTTACCTTTAATATACACACTAGAATGCATTTGAATTGTCAGTTGATCTGCCCTCTATAGTTTTCAAATATAACGATACTATACACATATACACATACTATACATTCAGATTTATTTCAGATATATTCGGGATAAGGAAGGTCAGTAATGTTTGATGTGCAACATTGATTTTTCAATAAATGCATTCAATATGAATTGATAATATAATATTATAATTGCTGGTCTTTAAATCGGTAGATATAAAAAAGTAAATTAATCAAATAAAACATTTTGTGATCATGTCTGCCGAGCATCACAGTGGAAAAGGTTATACACCTCTTCCTCAATGTATGAGCAATACCGACACCGAAGATGAGGATAAACATATAATACAAAGAAATGATTTAACAAATAAACAAACTAACGATGAGAGAACAACTATGGTAAGAGATTAATGATTTTAAAATATTATTAAAAGGATTAAGTAATTAGGTCATACTTATTCAAAATCATACATCTCAAAGATTTGATCTTAATATACAAAAAAGAAAACAAAAGAAAAAGATTTCTACTCGCAAATAGATTAATTTGTTAATTTTGTTTATAATTAATTGAATTATAGGAGCCTACAATGGTCCACGAACACGGAGTTTATTATCCATTGGATGAAACTAGAAATTTAGCTAATCGTACTAGGAATGGACAAAATACAATTAAATGTTACAGAGATGATATACCGACAATGATAATAGAAGGCACTACGCAAAATGATTTGTGGAAACGCAGAGATATGTCACCTTTTCGAAGATTTTGTTTAATCATATCAATATTATTATGCATAGTAACGATACTTGTGTTTTTGTATGTTTTACCATGTGATACTATGGTATGTCCACCAGTTAATAAACCACAATCGTCCGTTTCATGGGAGAAAACTTTGTTGAATGTTGGTGAGTATAAAAATTCATATGAAGTGATTTATAAATTAATTCATTTAAACAAACGAACAAAGCGTTATATAATATTTTGACGTTTAATTGTTATATTATTTTTGTAGAGGTACACGGGCCGATAACAATTATTCCTGGATCTCCATACGATCTTATATTTTTGCTTAGAAGTCAAGAATACAACGATAGCAATACAAATTACAATTCTAAAACTACAAGAAAAGGTTTTATTTTATATATAGACGGAACTAGCGGTTTTGATTCCTGGTGGGTTCGTTTAGAAAGAATACCAACTAATATCGATTGCTTATCCATCGATACGGATAAATCTGGAAAACCAGATTGTATCGTTGTCGGAGAACGTGGTTTATTAAAAAGTATAGATCCAGCTAAAGGTAAAATACATTGGAGTTCCGAAGTACATACGTTTTCAAAGTTACCAGTTATCTTACCAGATCTCAACTCTGATGGAGTCGAAGATCTTTTAAGCGTAGAAGTATCGCAAGAGAATGTATCTACTCTTGTACTTTTATCTGGTAATACTGGCCAATTGTTAGGAAAATATACAAAACACAATTGTTCGTTAGTTAACATATACAATCTAGTTTCCGATGGTACTATTTTATACGTGTGTCACGACATTAACGGTAAACGTATGTATAAATATGTAATTACGTATTTATTATTTTTTTCATATTTATGATTTAATAAATCTCATATATTATATTTTGTAGGTATTACGAAATACGTGTCGTTAAAAGTACTTCTCAACGGTTCGAGTTTATCGCAAAGAAAAAGAGAGATAAAAGCGTCGCCGCGTATCTTTAAAGTAATGATGTTGCAGGAAGAAAATAATTATTGGAAGCCTACGCGTTATCATCGTTTGATGGTTAAAAATGAAGGCGTTTGTCCTTGGGAATCTTGTAAAGCTACTATCAATCTGACTCTACAAAATCAGCCTAATCAAACGTTTCCTATTTGGGAATACGTAAGCCCAAATTCGTTTGTCTCCAAACCAGCATTTTTAATAACATCCGAAGAACCATATAGCACCGGGTTTGTTATTAAATTCTGGGAATGGCTCGATACTAATCCTTCGGTAATTAATACGGTATCGAAAATAGTTGAAAGAAAATTAATTGAAAGAGTATTAATAGTTTTCGTTAATTACACCGACGTACAAGTCATTAATGCTAGTCAAACCGATGTTACTCAATTATGCAATGGTACTAATTGTCAACCAAATTTAGATTTACGAATGAAATTTAATTCTATCGCGGCTGCTAATATCAATCACGAGGGATATCCAGAATTGGTGAGTTATTGGTCTTCGTACAATAACGAATCGCCTAGGATGTTGACGTCCAAAATAAAAATAGTTAAATTAGATTTAATTTTATCCAACTTACCGCATCCTAATGTACAATTTTTTAAAATATTACTCAACTATGCTAATTCTATGCATTCTACTGGCGTAGATAAACGATAAACGTTAACATCAAAATGTTACTTTAATTCACACCATTTATAGTCATTTCGAATTAATTGTAAATCGATTAATTTTATCCTAACACGATGGTCCTACTTTTAAATTCATTTATTTTTCTATTTATTTATTTTTCTTTTTCCTATCTTAAAAAAATATCTTAACGGATCCTAGTGATTCGAATAAAAGTGATATTACACGACTGAATTTAATTTACGTATTATTATTATTATTAAATAAAAGCTGGCTTATCGAAAAATCTTTTTACTAGTCAAACGATAATAATGGTGCCTTCGAATGAGCTATCGCTGTTACATGATGCAATTTTTGTTACAATTGTATTACGCTTCAGTGCGCCTATATTAATGTAAAAAAATATTAATATTATTGCACGCGCGTTATTAACTTGAAAAATATTATCATCGAATATTACGCCTACGTGTTATGTACAATTTAAAAATTATTGTATGATAAAAGAAAAAAAAAACAAAGAAAAGTCATACCATTCAACGCTAATATTAAAATAATTCATCAATTGTTACATATTGTTGCAACGTAAATGCATTTTTGGAAACTTAACTGAATGGTATCACATATTTAAATGCCTAAACAGCGTGACACACAATCCCTGCACGTTAAATGATTCGATTGATTTAATTTCAATTATATACTATGCGCATAAATTATAACATATAAATATGTAGAAACAAACTATTGCTGGAATCATCGTTCTAGTTATCAAAATGTACTACTCATTTGTACGATAGATTTAAAAATTAGCAACTAAACAATTGTATCTATGTAAATCATGTCACAAATATATTGTTTTCCAATGGGCTAGATGCAAAACATTTGATTTTTTTCAAATTTTCCCGCGAACGTATTTCGAAAAAATATTAAAAAATAAACGCGAGCAAAACAACAAGGGATGCATCGTCATTTGTATTTCAAATTTTCCCGCCAACGTATTTCGAAAAGAATTAAAAAATAAACGCGAGTAAACATAAGAGATATACACAATTAATTCAAATCGAATGTAATTAATAATCACGAATCTCATTGATAGAAATGTTTAGAGAACTGATAATAAATATTAATTATTATATATATATATATTTTTTAAAGAAGACAAAATCCCCGAAATTGTAGGAACTTTTAACGGTATCTTTGAACTTTGAACTCTGTTAAAAATGACACGCACAATTGCGACATTATCTATCTTTTCTCTTTTTTCTTTTTTTTTTTTTTTGATCGAACAACGTTAAATAGCACTACTTAAAAGATTCTAAAGAAATGAATGTATAATTATTTCAGAATTGGAGAGGGGACAAAAAAAGATACATAATAAATATATAATTTTGATGACGGAGCGAGAATTGGATACATTGGACTATAAACTCATCGAGGACAGACGATAAATATACTAAAAAAAAGTTACTCGTGCTTCTGTAGATCTTCGTAACACGTTTTAGCCTAATTATTAGGCTAACTAATAAATCGTTCGAAATAAAAGGAATAATAAGTGTTCGACTATTTTGTTGAAATAATAAAAAAAAGTAAAAAAGGGGACAAGTGAACAATTGTCATAACCTCTGATTTCGAATCAGCTGTTTAAACGTTTCTAACCTCGAATTAGTTAGATAATGAGTTGAAATAAATAAATGAGATCGTATTGATTGAAGATAAATAATAAAAAAAAAAAGAAAAAAAACCAGAAAAATATAAGAGAAGAGAAAAGAAAAAATTCAATTACGGAAGTACGAGATTAAAAAAAAAAAAGCACGAAGAACAGGAAGGATGGCTGCTGGAAAACGAAGAGTCCACCCTAATCTCGGAAATGGTGGTAACAATTTCGCGGGAAACAACAATACATTTTCTGGTGGTAACGCGAGATCATCGAGTCGTTTAAATTTTCGACCAAATTTAAGTCAAGAGGATCGAGGTGGTACGAGACCAACAACTGCACCAAGTTCTATAGGTCTTATACTCGTAACTATGTTTTTACACGTTTGCAAGAAATCATTGCTATTTGATACCAGATTGAAGGTAGCCATATATTGTGGGACGATATTTACGATATCACTCGTGGCTGATTTCGTGATAATGCCTAGATCGTATTTTTCCCGATCGGATAATGCACTTAATCGATATTTCGTTAAATGGGGATGGGGATGGTTGTTGATGGTAACTATACCATGGATAGTTCTTACTTCGCACACCCTTGGTTGCGGTAGGAGGTCTATCTTGTTGAAACATTTGGCACGTTTGGTACTTGCCACGTTGGCCTGGTTAATGTGGACCAGATTATTTAATTACATTGAAACAAATTTTGGCCGTTGCGTCAACACCAAGGAAGCCCAATTGCAATTCAAAGTTAAATGTCTCCAAGCTGGAAAATTTTGGAATGGGTTTGATATATCAGGTCATACATTCATCCTCATATACTCCAGTCTCATCTTAGCCGAAGAAGGTTCTTCTATGATAGGCTGGGAAGGTATTAAAGATCTGATCATGCGAGAGGAACACACCAGAATCACTCCCAATGAGACTAGCTTTGGACCACTTCGGAATCTCTCAGATCGAGATTTGGAATTCCTTAAAAAGGCTCACAAAGTTTTTACCCCTTATTTAAGAGCTCTATTTGTTTTTATGACCGTACAACAATTATTATGGGACGTTATGTTGGTTTCTACGGTACTCTATTATCACATTATGATAGAGAAATTTCTCGGAGGTATTGCTGCAGTTTTAACTTGGTACGTTACGTATCAATGGTGGTACAAATTACCTAAAATTGGTTTACCACCGCCCGGTGATGGTTTGTTTAAATATAACGAAGTCAAACCTCAACATGATTTAAATGCAGCACGTGCAAGACGTACCACGTTGAATGGAAGTACAAACAGGTTCATGGGTCTTCCCATACGAACCTGTCAAGATAATCTTGAAAGAAATAGCTCGACGAGTAGATTATCCGAACCTGAAACTCCTCCTCCATCTTATCGTGCAATTTAAATTGGGGGTTGTTGTTTTAATTTTCTTTTTTTTTTTTTTTTCCGTATTTTTTTCTTTCTTTCATTCCTCTTCGTCATTTCCAAAATCATCTATCAAATTTGTTTCAATTAATGTCTGCGAATATTTAAAAGGAAAGAAGAAAAAAGAAAAAAAGAAAAAAAAAGAAACTAAGGAACATTGTAATATTTTTATATAAGCCGATTATGTTTCTTATGTATATTATAATATACATATAAGATAGATATATCTCATTTAGGATCTGATTGTTAGAAATGAACAGCTGATTTATATTTTCTTTTTCTCACACGTAAATCCACTTGCCGTATCTTGAAGCTTTTCAATTTTAGGTGATAATTAAAATAGATAGATAGATAGATAGAAAGAAAGAGAAAAATAATATATATATATAATAATTATTATTATAATAAAATAAATATAAACCGGGATGTTTATAACTGTGCTATAACTACCTCTTTTACGGATTGTTTGTTGACTTGTAAAATGATCAGAATAATTCCGTCTTCGAGGTACGATTTTAACTATATAATCATCGATACAATTTCAATTAATTACCTCGTTATACAATTTATACTTAGAACTATTGTGTTCATATTTATTGGTTGTTGTTGAATATAGAACATTATTTATGGTGGTAAGGTAATTTGTAAATAGCTCACGTCGCACGTTTTGTATTAAAAAAAAAAAAAAGAGAAAAGAAAAGAAAAAAAAAAGAAAAGAAAGTACAAAGTACATGTATATGCTTTTTATTAAATGAAAAACCGAAGGGAAAAAAAGAAAAAAAGAATAACAAATTTATCGCTCATATTATCTCTTGTGCAATTAATCGCTTACACGCATTTACGTTCTTATTATTTCTTTTTGTCCGCACATTATCCTCCTACTTTTTTAAAATTCTGTCGTTAAATTATTATATAGAACCTAACGAATGATATATCAGAATTTTTGTATATAAATACAATGTTTGTTTAATCGTTTTTTCTTGTCTGTCTTTTTTTTGTTTTTTGTGTGTGTGTGTTTTTATTTTTTTTTTTTCAAATATATTTTTGCATCCAATGCAAGCAGCTTCATCGTTTGTGTCTCTTTAATAAATGATTTCGAACAAACTAATGCAATACAATTATATTATAAGATAAAACACGTTATTGATACAAAATACGATATGATGATAACGTCGGGCGATCTTTGTAAGATGATATTTTTACAATTTACGCGCGTATTTTCAATAATCGCAGCAGCACGTTTTTGTAATAATAAAATTTACCTCTTTTGTTACAACACATTATTTCGATACTTTTTTTTTTCTTCACCTGATCAAAAAATAAAAAAAGAAACAAAATAATAATAATAATAATAATAATAATAATAATAATAAATTATTATATTTCTTGATAATAATGTGAACGGTTTTTCATTAATCAAATTGTTAAAATGAACAAATACAGAATAAAACATTTTGAATTTAAATACAACGTAAACGAATGAACTTTTCGATTGATTTTCGATTACCATTAATCATCGGCGTTACTTTTTTGTTTTCTTTTTCTTAATGTTACATAAACTTACTGAGAAATAAACCCAAAAAAAAAAAGAAAAGAAAAGAAAACTTGAATATTATAACAGGTATATAATGTCGTTTATACATTTTAAATCGACTATTAATTATTGTCCATAAAATGATATTACTAACACATACATACAATTCCCATCTATTTTACTTAAGCTCTGAAACAGTAGAATATGCAGTATCTAAATATAATAATCGCGTAGTATAAGCAAAAATAAGTTACGTATTTATCTTTTGTTAACAGTACCCACACGAGCTTTCGTATTTATTTAAAAAACAAAACCCCTTGCTTTATATCTTTTTCTCTTCACTGAATATTATTATTTCATTTGATGATAATATATAACTTCAATAGAGCTTTTACAAATTATATATAAAATGATTAAAAAAAAACAAACAAACAAACTACAAACTTGCTTAGAGATAACTTGCACGATTTGAAATTAATGAAAGTGTACAAAAAAAAACAAAAAGAAACGACGATCGATGATGTGACGATTGGGGCTTGGAGAAAAAATAAAAAAAAGAACAAAAAATATTATCGAATAAGAAAATAATATTGTAAATATATATTTGTGAATGATAATTAAAAATTCGTAATAGAAAATGACAAAAAAAAAAAAGAAAATCGTTGATCCACGCACCACTGGTCTGCTTCTCTAATTCTCAAATATTATTATTATTATTATTATTATTATTATTATTATTACAGCTAATTATGCATCGATCGTTCTAAGAAATACTTTGACTTATTATTTATGCAATTTTTAATGCATCGTATTAAACGGTCGACGATGAAGAAGCAAGAAACGACGAAGCGCACACGTTTGGGTTTTCGTTTTCTTTTTCTTTTTCTTTATAATTATTATTATATTCCAGAGAAGTTCAAACTTTCGATCTCTTCCGAGCAATTGCGTCTTCGACAGCTTTAAGTTGTTTCAATAATTCCTCACGACGAGAGCTAGCTTTTTTAGCAGCTTTGGCAGCAGCGGCAGCAACACTTGCTTTGCTATCAATCAAAGGCGGAGATTCGAGGCTCCTCTTCTTTCCAGCCATTATTGTCGAACGATCAATCTTCTTGGTCGTTGAAATGTTACTTGTCGGTTTCAAAGTAAGCTTTATCTGTTGTTTTGTTCCGCTAAGCTTCAAGGCGTCTATAGCTTTAGAATCTTTGCGGGTTAAAGGAGGCGTGGAATCTTTTCTTTTACGAGTTTCGCTGGAAGACGACGAGTAACTCGATTCGCTCGAATCGCTACTGCTACCGCTACTTTCTGATCCAGAACTACTATGAGAAGATCTGTAAAAATGAAAGAATAATTCATAATTTATCTGTTGGTTGTTTTTTTATTTTATTTTTGTATGGACTTTTCTTACATTTAAACTTTTCGTTACTAAAGATTCATATACGAGTCTTCGCGCGTTAGAAACGAATTTAACTAATAATTTATTTTTTAACCCTTCTTTGCATGATGATGGAAATTTCAATCATAATATTATTTAGTCAACAAAAAAAGGGTACTTAAAACCCTTGTACTGTATATTTGTTGTTGCTGGCAACTTTTTAAGCGACTATTGCGTACAACAAAACGCAGTTGTCAAAAAATAACACTAGGATTTTTTTTTAAATATTTTTCCTTTAATCTAGAGCATTAATTACATCCCCCTGATTTATTTAAAAAAAAAAAAAAAAAAAAGAAAAAATCATGCAAAGAAGGGTTAAATATAATAAAGAGTTATGCAATTTTCTGCATCCTTGTCGACAATACTTATATTATATGCGATCTATCGCACACTCAAAGGGTTAACAAATTATAATAAAATAAAATATGAGAAAAAAAAAAAGAAAAAGGGGTTTCTCACCTAGACCTAGATCTACTTTTGATAACCTTAGCCACTGCAGCCGCAGCAATGGCTGCTTTGTCCCTTGTTTTTTCATGATGTCGTTGATGAGACGATAATGGGCTTGGTGCTGGCGGATTCAAACCAGCACGTCGATGTAGCGTTCCCGTAGTAGGAGAGATGGAGCCTTTGGGTGGACGAGGAGAAGGAGCCGGTGGGTTCATTAGCATAGCACCACGCTGTGGTGCTCCAGAAGGAACTGCTGCGGCGCTCGCAGGTGGTGAAGGGACCGTTGCTTTCCCTTTTCCACTGCTGCGGGTTCTAGAGGGAGGAGTAGGTGAACGGGACCTGGATAGGGAGTCGTAAGAACTGTAGCTAGATCGGCTCGAGCTACGGCTAGAACTAAAAAAATTATACTCTTACTCGTTCTTATTTCAATTTGTAATTACGATGGTCTTCTTTTTTTTTCCTGTTTTTTTTTTCTTTTTTTTTCTTTCTTTTTTTTTTTTTTTTTCTTTTTACCTATACCAAATCAGAGATGGAGTCAAGCTAAAAAAAACCCGATTGTACTACTATACCAAATATATTATGATCCGAATAAACTATAAACCATCGTTTTGATAAATAATATCAAGCTAATTCCAATGAAAAGAATTAAACTCGATCCTATCTCTGTGTCACATTAATCCCTATCATCTTAAACTAATTAAATAACTAGAAATATATATTTCATAATTACCGCCGTTGAATACTAAGTCTTACCTGGTCGATGAGTACGACGATCCAGAGGAATAGGATTGTCTACGAGAACGTCTTGAGGATGTCGTATTACGGCGCACGGTACTCGGTGATTTACGACGCATCCATGGATCTGCCCATTCGTCGGCTCTTCCTCTTTCCATAGGTGGTGGTTCCTCTTCGCGCCAAGTTTTAGTCGGTGGTATGCGTTCAACTATGACCTCCCTAGATGGTCGTTTGTGCTTCTTTTCATACTTCTCGTAATACTCACGTTCCCTGTCACGTTCGCGTTCTCTATCTCTTTCACGTTCGCGTTCTCTGGTATGTGGTGGCGGTGAAACAGAATGCGGTGCACCCCGTGGAATTCCATGATACTCGAGCCGCTCGCGATATTCCCCAGTAGTTCGAGAATCCGACTTGTAATGGACTCTCCTAAAAATAATACAAACGTTTTATTAGAAAATATAAATAGAGAATTGTATCCTTGAGTCTACATGATATTTTCTACATTGAATTATTTATTTATTACCGATAATAATCAGGTGGAGCTGCAGGAGGTGGATAATAAGTTTCTGGTTCGTCGATGTACCGTTCAGGTGTGATTCTTGGTGGTGGTATCCTTCGTGGTGGTGGTTCCCTCGGTGGCCACCTTTCAACAGGTGGTTCAGGGCTAGCAGCTCGTACATAATATCCTGCTTCACGATCCAATTCATCTTGTCCTAAACTTAAATTCATTTTCTTCTCTTCGAAATCCATATCGGATTCTTTGCGTTTGTTAGCTTTACGCATCATCTGAAAAGATAATATAAATTCGATTAGCATATCGTTTATTAGTCGTATATTTGATATATATGTATTTAGAAATTTTGTATGTTTACTTCTTTGGCATGCCGTAATCCTCGTTCCCAGGCAGATTCGGTTGGCAATTCTTCTACTTTTGGTGCGTGAGGTGGAGCACCACCATAGCCAGTTAATGGTCGAACGATACTTGGTCTATCGATATGTGCTCGATATTCGTGAGGTGCAGCAGCATGTGGAGGATAGGCCATTGGTCGTACCATGTCGAACATAGTGTAATTACCTTTGTCGGTTACACCAGGATGTAAAAATCTACAGCTAACACCCCACGTACATTGTCCTCGATTGTAAAATCTACAAACAGGTCTTGGTTCGGTTTCTTCCGGTCGAGCATCATCTCCATCGCTAAGCTCTCCTTCTTCCAATTCGGATTCCTTCTCTCCATCTTCTTCACCCTCTTCCTTATCGTTCGCTCCTATATTATCAACTCCCTTTCCCTTATCCTTTTCCTTGTCTTTATCCTTATCCTTGTCTTTATCTTTCTCCTTATCCTTATCCTTATCTTTTTCTTTAGCATCTCTTTCTAATTTATCTTTGTGTTCCTTAATTGCAGGTATGTCTGCATCTCCTATTAATTAAAACTTTAAATAAGATACACATACATACGCAAAAAATAAACGTATCTTTTTTTAAATAAATTTATTTAGAAAATAAAAAAAAAAGAAAAGAAGAAAAAAATGAAAATGATAACAATACCTTCATCACGTTCATCTTTCCACTGACCGTCAGCTTCGAAATCAAGCTGTTCGCTCTCCTCTATGTTTACACTAGCAGTTTTCTCCTCTTGTCCAATTTTATCGTCGTTCTTCATACTCGGCTCATTGTCATCCCTTTTTTCTTTGATAGAATCTCTTTCCCGATCGATAGATTCTTCTGCACCATCCATACTTTCAAGATCAGATACGTCGGACAAGTCTTCTCCATGAGATATCGGTGCAGGTTTCGATTTAGGAACGGGTTCCGGTTCATCGTCTATATCTCCATCTGATATCTGTTCGCCATCTAATTCATTAAAAGAATTATTTTTATTTACTGGAGACCGTTCAGGCGAATGTTTGTCAGATTCATGATCATCTATAGGAGACGCTTGACCAGATTTATAAGATTTTGGAGAACTTCTTCCAGATAGAAGAGACTTGACCGAACTACGTCCTGACCTTGGCGATTTAGGCGAACTCTGTCTAGATTCGCTATTTCTATACGAAAGTGATTTCGGCGAATTATCTCTTGATTTTTGAGTATCCGCATCGAAATCATATGACTTCGCTTCCGAATCTCCATAGAGTAAAGATTTAGAATCGTGCGGTGTCGAAAGGCAAGATCTTTCATCTTGAATAGGTGACCTCGAGGAACTACGATCAGTACGTGGCGAATCTATAGAATTATTCCCTGAGCGATAAGACTTGGGAGAAGCGGGTGGAGACTTCGATAATGGGGATTCAGAGCGAGGAGATCGTGGTGATCGTGGAGATCTTGGAGATCTTGGAGAACCGTCTTCGCTAGGAGACATCAATTCGGATCTTTGTGATTTTGGAGATGCTGGCGTTGATCTTGGTGATTTAGATCTTCTGTCGACAGACATGATAGAAGCCGGTGATTTTCCTCTGGAAGAAATAGAACTCGTTGGGGACTTCCTATCGGAGAGAGAGGGAGACCGTTGTGAAAAACGCGTAGAGGTCACATCGTCCCCGGCATTAAGTTGTTTTCTTCTGGCGGGGTAACCTTCGGATGAGGAACTCTCCGAACCAGAGTCAGACATCTTGTGCTATTCCAGCCTGAAAAAAAGACAATTTCATAGCAAATATAGAATAATTTGAATAGTGGAAAATATGGAAGATCAAAGTGTTGAAATATATTTGAGACATATGGATCCTCTTACTTGATAAGTCAATTTATAGGCGTACGGGCCAAATGTAGCACTGAAAAATCTGCCTCTGTGGCATCGATGAGCTTACCTGTGTCAAAAAGAGCCCGTGTAGTACTCGCTCTTGAAGGCACATCGCGCGCATTCCATACCGCGTTCAACATACTTTTTATATCACGTTACAAACTTCTTTAATTATTTAACTTTTTAAACTTTATACTTAAACTGAACTTTCGTTTTCACATGTTATAAAGTATACTGTTTGTTTTTTTTTTCTTTTTCTTTCTTTCTCTTTTATTATTTTTACAAGGGTTTTCTTCCCCGCAACTCTTTCGCTTCATATTAAACTTTTTCAACTTGAACACAACACAAATTAAGAAAGACTGGTAAACCGCAAACCGTTTTCTACTGCACTAGAAACTATAACGAACGAACTTTCAACCTGAAAGAATATTTTTTGGGCCTATGGAGAGAGGAAATTAAAAAGGGGGAAAAGAGGGAAGCACGAAATAGAAAGAAGGAAATGGTACTGAAGAAAAAAAAAAAGAAAAAAAAAAAATATAACTAACTGACTAGTATTATTGATGTATGAGAGAAAACATATTAAAGTGATTTTATGATTCGTAACAAAATTTCATTCGATTTATAATATAACTGTTTGTTATTGACCGTAAACTCATTTAGAGATAAAATATTATAAATATATCAAATATTTATTAATAATAGAATACAATTTTGCTACTAAGATGATTACTCGATAAGGATTACCAGAGGAAAAGTATAATATTTGTATCACTCGTTATATCAACGATCTTAAATCGATTGCAGTAATAAGAGTTTCACAGAACGTAGTAATCTAAATGTAGCGTTTAATATAACCTGTCTATATGATTTATTTATTAAATATATTATAAGTAAATGATTGATTGGGAAGAAATACCTAAAATTCTTTGACAACGCCTATGAATTATTTCCTTTAATAACACATACAATATAATAAACAGGAAAAAGCTTATTAATAATTCAAACCAATAGAGGATAATATCACGATCACGTATGTAGATGAACGTGCATTCGCACGATCATATTTTTTAATGTCTTTTCTTATTTCATATCTGTTTATTTATTTCCCCCTTACAATTAGTGAATTATCTAAGGCATTCAGAAAAGCAGTCTAAGGATTGAGGTTAGGAATGGGATAATATCGATATTACTGCAATACGATCTTCAGGATATTTGTTACAAAAGCACATTCATCAATTCGCTTAAAGTCATATTTAAAAAAGATAATGAAAATTGAATAGGAATTGTTGCGGATAATGTATTATGGGATTCTTACCTTGTTCGCACGTATGCCTGTGGGCCTTTGGAGATTTCAATGCTCCCTAGGCTTTAAGGCTTCCGGCGTCACCCAGGAAATATCGAATCTCTGTATTTTTGGGATGTTCTTTCGGTTTTAGCGTTCCGTTTATATGTTGACGAAGTTGATATATTTTACTTTTAACATTATCGGCCCGTATTAAACTTCCATAGAATCAGAGTTCCTTTCGTACAAGGACAAAGAGAGATAGACAAACGAAAAAATTAACAAAGCACTAAACTTTCAGTTCCAATACGGTTACGGTTTGTCATTGATCACAATTATAGATGATGTAACACCGTTAATAATATATACCTGATGCATTTGACATGTCGGTCAATTTGCTTTCTCATTGGTCGAAGAATATTACTTACGCTTATACGATTGGTTAATCGAAAAACCAATCGTAATACGACTACACGAAAAGATATTTCGATATATCGAAATTTTTAAATATCTATCGATATCGTGTTTGTTAATAATAATAAGATTTAAAGAATGTATACAGAATATTAATCTTTTCTAGTGGTTATATAAAAAAAGAAGGAAAAGTAACAATTTTTAACCAAGAACAGGGGAAGTGCTGATAACGAATTCTTCGAAAATAAGATATATCTCGGATCATTTTAAAAATGTAGAATACTATAGAAGTATACGGATTCAGTTGGAGATGAGGAGTAGTCGTGTAACGAAGTCAAATTTCTTCAACAAATATTATTACTTTAAATGATAATATATTAAATAATTATCAAGAAAATTATAATAATCTTTTATTAAATATAATATTGTATGCGTAAAATAATAATTTAAAAATGTTCCTCAATTTTAATCATTATCGTTCGATATTATTTTGTCTTATCGCATTATTAATAAATATTAATATAAGTTTTGCTTATTCACCTCCAAGTGCAACCGTAGAACCACTTTATCCAAAAGGATTGCGTATATCTGTGCCACGTAAGTAATTAAATAATTTTTAATTGTATAATATATTCAATTATAATATTGGGGAGTAGAATAACATTTATTATTTGCCTATGTTAAAAAACATTTATCATGTGCGTAGATGAATACAAAATATATAAAGACTTCGTATCAACTATAATTATTTAATTACATAACAGTCCGTATTTTCCCATGACTAAATGTATTTATTAGACTTGTGAAATATATCGGATAAAATGTTTTGATCGATAGCATATGAACATTAATAAACTATACAAAGGTTATCATAAGAATTTTTATTTAATTTCATTTTAATGCCGTCTACAAATAATAATAATAATTATAATAATAATAACGACGAGAGCTTAATGATTTGTGTAGTTAATCAAATTCAAGTTCAAATTCAAGTTCACATTCAAGGTCAAGATTTACGACCGCAACCAACCGATTAGAGATAATAAAAATGTGAATATTATTTATCTCTTTTAGAAATTCTATTATTTTTTTCTTTTCAACAGATGAACAAGGTATCACGTTGGTAGCTTATCACGTAAAATTCAACGATGATTTTTATTCATTAGAAGCAGGAGTAATTAGTATCGATATTATAAAGCCTCGTAATGGCAGATGGGTTTACGAAGATCATACTACTGAGCTTAAAGAAGGTGATATCATTTATTTCTGGGTACACGTTGTCTATCAAGGATTAGGATACAATCTTTTAAATCAAGAACACAGAGTAACCGGTTTGTATTAACAAAATTTCGTAAATGTCAATTAATTCGTTCGTAGATACATATCCGAACATATTTTGTATTCATTTTTTTTTCTACTCCCGTTCCCCCTCTTAAAGGATTCTTCAATTATGACGGAACACCGCGTGGTTCGAGCAAGGAAGGAAATTGCGATAAACCTTCGATAACGAAAGTATTCGACAGGAATGGAAACTCGTTGAAGGTTTGCACGAATCAATTAATCTTTGAAGATGGTTTTGATAGTCTTAACACATCGATATGGACCGTACTCGAACAATTTTCGGGTGCTCCGGTAATTCCAATATTTCTTTTATTAATAATAATAATAATAATAATAAT